TGGGAAAGGAAATGATTCTTATTTCAACCGTTGCGTATATTAGCTGCGACATATGAATCAAGATGCTATGACCAAAAAAAATCGATTGACAGATGACGTTGATAGATGATTGGCCGAATTTAGGTGCTCAGGCTGACATATAACTAGATTTTAAGACAGGAATTTTTTTTAACATATGTTCTAAATTTTGGGACAATATGGTCTGATAAAGAGTACATTTATATACATGTATAAGCCAGAATGATTTGACATTTAAATGTGATTTCCCTACAACTTAAAAAATACAAAATTGTGCTTACATGCTGCCTCCGAAGGTGTGCTGGCACTTCCTTAACAACCGGCGGTAAAGCATCTAGAAGCTCTTCGGCAGGAGTCGGTTCCTCCCTCTGCAGCTCCTCTTTCCTCTTGTCCTCCTCGACGTTTATTCTCTCGTTCTCAGCTGTAGATTCCTCTGAGCTCACAGATGATGACCTGCAGGTGAGAAGATGCGAGTTTAAGGAAACTTCCACAACGATTCATGACAGAAGCATGGAAATATTTACTTTTTAAGGTTTGCTTGATTCTTGGACTGAACCAAGGTGGAGCTGCTCTTCTTTCCCACTGTCGTCTTTGTTATCCCCTTCTTCCTCCCAGGAAGGCTGATCTGCACCTTATGAGCCTGAAGACATAGATGGGATGAGGGGGGAAAACATTAAATAATGACAGGAGGAGGTGCAGCGAACCACAGCTCAGTAGTGACTGGGAATATAGTAAGAGGATGGGTGGAGCTAAATGCAGAGTAATCCTGCTACAACTATGGTTTTAGAATTCCTGCACCTTAAAACTTTTAGAGGCCTCCTTGTCTGATGTGTAAACCAGGTGGCCTGATCAACTCCTCCGGATTAATTCTACTTCCTCAGAGTCCTGCAAGTCATTTTATTCTGCTACTGAAGGCTTTCAGTCACCCAAGACTGCAGTTTAAAGGTCCTGTGTTAGAGGTTAAAGGCAAAAGACCCGAGAACTGGTTCACCTGCTAAAAAGAAAACAGTCCTAAACCTACAAGCAGGGCTAAGACGGAATAAATGTATTTTACTGTGCTAGATTGGACAATTTAAAAACTAAACCCAAAACACTTAAGAAATGTAAGGCTAGACTTGATAATTTGTCTCCAAACTGGTTTTTAAACCCATTAAACTTTTAAATTGCATCATGCACTTTGTGTTATTTCGTGCATTTATAGATAAAAAATTATTAGAGTGCATATAGCATATATGCACTACCAGCAACCTGCAACCTTTTTGGCCCCATGAGTGCAGCTAAATAAATAAATTAGTGCCAAAAAATATTAGATGAGCTTTTAATAAAA